TCTGCTGAAAAACTAAAAAACAACCCAGCGCATAAAACAAAGTGATATAAGTATTATAAAAAATGACAATCAGAAAAAAATCTCCACATTCACTAAATGAATCTACAGGGCCCCACTCATGACATGCAGACAAAAAAAATATGTATATCGTGGCCATGAATTAAGAATTCGTTCCATGATATGCATATGTCCACATGTCATCTGCAGGGCTCCGTATGAATCTGACTTCTAACTGATATTGAAATATTGCAGCAAATACTACAAAGCTCTTCGATGGTTTGAGAATTCACATTTGAGTTTGAGTGTTCTTTGTTTTTGTGTCTGTCCACTGTTTTTCTGACATTTTAGGCATTTCCCCTCATGTTATTCACTGACCCCTTTCTATTCTGTACTTTGACAAAAACAATGGACAGACCTGATCTGTTTTTCGAAAAAGTCAAACATAATTGCACTTGTTTGAAGTCAAAGGACGTGGCCTCTTCGGTGAAGCGGGAACTTTGGAAGAACACTGTGAGTTAATCAGGATGGACTGTTTCTGTGATGTTCATTCAGTTTGGCTTGTGTTTGCTGCTACTTTGATCCACTATTTGTGAAAGCATTTGTTGAAACAGGAATTTGTTTTCTTGTTCAAACTTCCTCGAACCAGCTCTGCGACAGTTCTTCAGGAATCATTTGCACGGGTTCACTATTATTGTTCTTCATATAAAGATGCATTTTTAATTCTGCTGTTATCCTTAGTGGACTTTCTAGCCACATATAACTGTGAAAGTGTCTTCTCTTGCATGTGCAATTAGTTCTGCGCTTCCATTAGAAATGTGAGTTTAACGTACCCTAAGCCTTATGTGTACAATTTCTTGGAAAATGACACAACATGGCACATTTGCTTTGTTGTGAATTCACTCTGCCTAACAGCATTAATTTAGCCTCAGAGATCTCTTTATGGTAGATCATGAAGAGTTATGTTTTTCCTTTAATGTGAATACTTTTGTGGTCGTATTAAAGATCGACTGATAAAAACCCATCCACATTTTTTGCCTTTTAAAAGAATATTAGCTGGATCTGTCTATTTCAGGTTGAATGTGCACTTCACAAGCACTTTACACCCTAGGCAAGAAATATTGATTTTTTTTTCCATCCATGCCACGGCAGGTACTTTTATACAGTGTAGAGGCTTCCAGGAAATGTTAAATCACATAAACGTTCTTGCATCTTAAATAAAAACAGTCCTCTAAAGAAAAAAAGCCTTTAATTATGAATTATTAACTATTACAGTAGCCTAAATACTGAACACTGAACTAATAATACACTCTGTTAAAATGTGTTAAATAAAAACACTTTCTGATAGAACTTGCTGCAAATATCTTGTATTTAAATTATAATGCATGGTTGCACACATTCTAGTGCTGTCAAATCGATTAATCACGTTTAATCGATTCTAAAATGTATATATATATATTAAAAAAATATATATATACACATATTGTATAAACACAAACTTTTGTTTTGATTTGACAGCACTTGAATAAAGATTTATGGCCATTAGAATGATAAATAATGCTAAGTCATGTTCAATTCGAATTGACATTGAAAGTATTTTGTAAATGTTTTCATATGTGATATTTTGGAGAGCATCCTTTTCATCAAAATGTCCTATAAAATAATAATAATTACAATAACAATAAGACTTCTGAAGCAGACCATATGACTTTCTTTCATAAGTCTTTGTGCTTAAGATTTTGTTATTTGATGATGTCAGATTACTAAAAAACAATAACATATTTCAGGAAGTAAAAGCCTAGACATTAGCGAGTTTTGGTGCGATGTGTCCCCTTAAAAGATTTCAAAGATGACAGTAATGATAATGAATAAATCATTCCAGAGTATTATAGGTTTCTCTATAGGTCTGCTTGCCTCCTAAGTAGTTGCAATCTGTTTCCAATTTGTCAGACACATGTTACAACATGTGGTTTAGTTGTTCAAATTAGAGGAGGAGCGGCCAGTCATGGCCTACTTTTCTGAAAAGCAACATCACGTCTGATAGCTTTAGCAACCAGTTACCAAGGTAACAAAAAGAAGAAAGACAAGTTCTATAGGACCCTGATAGAAAAACCCATTTCCCTTTTACGGTCAGTTTGGTGTATTTAGAAAATTACTTGTATTTACATGTCCATACTGTATACATCTTGTGACTTTACCTTCATTGGGTAACATTGTATATGGGTCAGATCTGAATTGTAAAGTTTGTCGCTAGGCTACACATGAATGTAGGCTTTGAAAAGATAATACGCAAGTCACTTGTTGGAAGACAGGGGAGGAGGTGACTCCTGAAAATGTGTGTTAGCAGCACAGATTACGGGAACAGTCAAGTGCATACCATAAGTTTAAATCACAATCATTTTTTCCAATTTTAAAAGTGTTAAGGGCGTTTGGGGTTAGATTATGTGATCGTGCTTGAAAACAGTAGCCAATGTCACACTGGTCTGTTCAGTTGATGCATCATTCTAATAATGAGATTTATCATGTATTATGGAATTATATGCTAAATATATAATAATAGCCAACTTAAAAAAAAAAAAAAAAAAAAAAAACGGACAATAGGCCTATAAGCTTAGCCTCCCTCCCTTGCATATTGATTTTTGGCCTCCAAATGCTGACTGACTCACTATACCTTTTCAAAATAACTTGATATGCAACCATCCTCTCCAAATCTCTCAAAGGAAATGATGCTAGTAGTTTTGAAAAGTATTTTGAACAAGTTAATCTGATAACCACAATAAATTCACAAAATAGTTGGGTAGGTTGTCACAGCAGTCTTTTTATTTAAAACTAATTGAAATAAGTATACAACTACTTATACTATAGTATATCTGTAAACTACTTTAACTTTAAAGCAGCTAAATATTAGAACATAACACTATAGCAACCACGTAGGCCTACGTAGCCCAAAAAAAAAATCACTTTTTTGTTTACATTTTAGTAGGCTGTAATACTCTCTAATACTAATCACCTATGACAGAACGAGTTATTTTTGATAAGTTTAAATGCTCAACATTTGACATTAGCAGTGTTCATGCACTAAACAAGAGTGGTGAGCGATCTGTTCAGGCTAAACTAACTAAATACGCCCCTATATTGGACTGTAAGCTTTCGATTTTTCCACCGCGTGTAGGCAGCCTAATGTGCATGACTGCATGTGATGGGAACTTCACTTTCAATGGCAGTTTCAAGCCTTCAGTCTTCATATTTCTTTACGCTGGTAAATTAAAGTTAGCATATCTTCGATAAATATTTAGCTGAAATGAATATATTGCAGACTGCAGAGTCGATTTGCAGACTCCACTCGCAGCGAGCAAAACGTGCCCTTTGTTGCTAGATCTCTCTAGAAACATAAGTAGGCTAACTTAGCCATGAAACACGGTTTGAAAATCCATGAAATCTTTCGCTTGTGCAAAATAAATTAATGATGACAAATTAGTTTCAAAAAGTTGAGTAAATAGGCCTACATATTATTTACTTAATTATTTAAATATTATTTAAAGGGATTGCTAGGTCACCCAAATATTTTTTCATCATTCTCAAAATTCTGTCATCATTTACTCACCTTCATGTTGTTACAAACCTGTATGAGTTTCTTTCTTCTGTTGAACACAAAAGAAGATATTTTAAAGAATATTGGTAACCAGACAGTTGACGGTATAGCCATTGACTTTCATAGTATTATTTATTTTCCTACCATGGAAGTCAACCGTCAACTGTCTGGTTCCCATCATTCTTTAAAATATCTTCTTTTGTGTTCAACAGAAGAAAGAAACTCATACATTTTTGGGTGAACTATAACTTTAAATAATCTCATTATACACATCAAGCATTATATAGCTTTTGTTGCACCCGCATCAAACCAGTGTTCACATATTGATACTCTATTTGATACTGTTATGGATACTATACGGATATAAATGGTCTTTACCAGCGGTAGAGTCGTTCACAAGCTGCACACGCAAAAAGAGCTGCCTCGTTGCTGACAAATTGAGGACATTGGCTATTGTTTCAATGGATTGTAGGTAGGCCTAAATATCCACCTCATAAAGTATCCCATTAGGCTACTATTCTGAGTGAGAAACGGCTGTAAACGATTCAGCCGTGAAATGTGAATCGAACAATTTCAGACCATTTGACTTAGATAAAGAGTTACCGGTATTCATTGGTGAATCTGGCATCAGCTTTGATTCCAAACAGCTGAGAGAAATATTGCTGAAATATTACCAAGGGAAAATTATTTTCAGATGCGTATGGCCTCCATTGTCAGACAATGATTTATCAGTAATATTTTACTGTGATTTTGCCAAGTAAGACATGTTTCTGGATCTTCATTTTGTTGAACCTGGAACAACATCCCTGTATGAAAATTTTGTCCTAACCCATAACTTATCCCTAAAATCCTAGGGAAACGATAGGTTAATTACACTGATGTAGAAGCACCTAACCCTGGTTGTAAGCTTAAATTGACATAAACTGTAAACGTTAACGTATCCCTCAAATCTGATTGGTTGATTGGAATGTTTTCTAGGATCAACGAAGATGTTGATCCAGGAACATGTTGTAGCCTACTTGGTGAAATCAAGTTCAACGGCACACACAGTAGTTCACTGGGGCACCTGTTTTTCACTGGGCCTTGTGCCCCAATAAAAAGGGTGACACCCCTGTAACTCTGGCCCTAAAATACTAAAGAATTCAAATTGCATTTGAAAAAAAAAACGAGCCTTGATTATCAAATTTACATTTATTTATTATTTATTTAGCAGACATTTTATCATGAGATAAATTATAAAAATTATGATAAGAGGATATGGCAACAGTCTCTAAACTGCTAACTAGCAAGTGGAGCGAAAGTGTGGCACCGCCTCTGATTTTTTGACGTCACTAGCCTCACTCTTGACACATGGTGATGATCATCACATTCACATTTCTTTCACACACACACACACACATACATACACTCACGCACTTCAAGCCACCTATGCCGGTGCTGTAGAGCTGGATCGTTCACTTGTCGTTCTTAGACGAATGATAGCTTATTTACCTGTTACATTTAGCCCTTGATTTCATTTCAATTTTTCACAAATAGCCTACTTTTCGCACGGAATAAGAGTGATTATGTCCAGACCGCTGAATTCAGCTTTCCTACCTCCGCAAACTCACGGCGTTTTGAAGGCGCTCCTGGAAAAACCTCTGAAACTACCTGGGCAAGATGAAGGTGATCGAAGCTTTCACTTTGTTACATTGCAGCATATGAATAATAATAATTGTTTTGACCTTACTGTTAGAGCTGTCGTCCGATTTCTGCTGTGATCTAGCTATTGTTTTTTGCTGTTTTGATTTTTTTTTTCTCTCTTTCTTGTGTTTTCTGTCGTTAAAGTGTCTCTCGCATTAATGAATAAACTTCACTTACAGAGACATCACATAGCTGAGATTAGTTGTTCTGAATAATACTTTTTAAAAATACATTCAAATGATGGAAATTTTAATGGCATTACATTTATTAAAATTAATAAAACATAACTTAAAATATTGATGGAATAAAGATTTAAACTTTAACCTAGGTTTAATTGTAGCCTAATTACTATTTTAAACAATTTGGTCACTTTACTTTAAGGTGGTGCAGTTACACGTTAATTCATGTACTTACTGTAGTAATAACATTAAATTATGCATATACTTACAAGTAACTAATTGTAAACCTTAACCCAAATCCTAACTCTATAGTAAGTACTTGTAGTTAATTAATATTACTGTTAAAATAAAGTTGAACCAACTATTTGAATATTAACAATGACGAAAATTGTGTTGAAACTCAGAAAACTTGTGAAACCAAGTAAAACGGGGGGAAAATTGCAACGTTAAATGAATGGAAACAGATATTTTTTTATATTGCTGAGCTTGCAGCTAAGAACAGTCACTCAAAAATTATTACTTTAAAAACCATTGAAAAATTAATAAAGCATGCACTTTCAAATCCATTTGAGCTATATACATTTTCATTTAAAGACAAAAAGCTGTTTGAATTTGGATGTATCAAAAGTTGATGTGTTAACTAATGGTAATGTCCTTACAGGCTATGGGAAGGAGAGAGAGAAGGTGAAAAAGCTAGAAGAAGAGAGAAACGCTCCACAGTCGGCTTTCTTAGGGCCAACGCTTTGGGATAAAACATTGTCTTATGATGGAGACGGCTTTCAGTTGGAGTATATGGACCTTGAGGAGTTCCTCTCTGAAAATGGCATCCTCTCCAGTCCCGCACAGCATGACCAAAGCCTCCACCAGCAGCACCAGCAGCACCAGCAGCATCAGCAGGCGTCAATGCCACAGCCCCCCATCTCAGTCATGGACCTCAGCAGCCGGGCCATCACCTCCATCCACACGGGCATGGTTCCTCAGAACTGCCTCCACAGCCCGGGCAGAACAGGTACTGTCACTTTAGACCCAGCAGATCCACTCTATAGATTAAAAACAACCCTTTAAAATGATGTAAAGCTGGGTCAGATGTCACTATCTAAATATGACAGTGTGTGTGAGTGCAACTGGGAAACAGAGCATGAATTTTTGTTTCATAGTGTCAACCTTTCCTCCGTATTGCTCTGTTCCTATTCTTACCCATATTATTCTGAATTTCTGTTCAACTTTAATATTCAAAGGTTACTTATTAGCTTATAATTATGATAATATACAAATGATAAGATCATAAATAGTATCCACCGTGGTGACAGGCAAGACTATGAAGTTGTATTTTGAAAAAGAAAGCCCATTGAAAAAACGAGAGAGGCTTTTGTGGAGAAGAGAAAATTAGGATTTTTGAGCAGTTTTTTTTTATTTTTTATATGTGGGATGTGGGCTTTTTCTTATACATGAAAAATAAGCTGTCAAATGTAAAAACTTTCCCACCCATTGCAAGTTCATCTGTGAATGGAAATCTCAGACTAGCCTATAATGTCATTTTCCACTGACTAGAATTTGCAAACCGATGACTCTTTTAGTCTGAGCATTTGGTGTGCAACATCTAAACATAGTTTTATAAAACTTTATGTAAACTGTATGTTGTTTTGGAATTGTGGATTTAGTACCAGGTAAATCACTGATCTCTTGTTCAGTTCGGTCTTTAAAATCAATTTAAAAATTAATTAGATCCATTTATTGAATATCAAAAATATCACATTGATTAATTACAAGTTTAATTGTATTCGATTTTTTTTTTGGACTAATTTGAATATTAACTGAAGAAATTTGTGTTGAAAAACGTATAAAAGTAAGTAAACTGACCACTGACTAAAGTTTGCAGACAGATGAATAGTTTCCTAGTCTGAGCATTTGCTGCGCGACATCCAAACATAGTTTTATGGAAAACCTTATGTCAGCTAAAATTATTATTTAAAAAAATCTGCTAAAATGGACACAGGATGAAAATATGAAATGCTTTCCAGAAAAAGGTTTTATCCTGGCACTTAAAAAAAAACAGGTCAGCGCTAATTCATTTAACATGTTTTATTTTTGACCAAAACAAACCCCAAATGTATACACGAAAACAAGATTGTACTGCCAGTACTAGAGATTTATTGTACTTCATTTATGAATGTCTGGTGCACCACCTAGTGGAATGAAATGCTCATGACAGCCTTTTCACCATGTGTTACAATACATTACCGCTAAATTACACTTCTGCCACCGAGTCAACAATAAATCTTTTTTTTTCTCTCTCTCTTACAGTTTTGCCTCCATCACGTAACACGCCAAGTCCTATAGACCCGGAGGCCCTTCAGATACCAGTGAACTACGAGCCCGATCCCGCAGACCTCGCTCTGTCCAGCGTCCCTGGCCAGGAGGTTTTCGACCCACGGAAATGCAAGTTCTCGGAAGAGGAGCTGAAACCTCAGCCTATGATCAAGAAAGCACGCAAAATCTTCATTTCTGATGATATGAAGGTAACTTGGGTCAAGTTATTCAGCCCCCAAAAGTGTATGTTTGGTCACTCTTTTCACCCTTCACCATTGACCAGCTGGGCAACAGGCTCTTGCTAAGAAGCTTATCTCTGTTCATTCATCCTTCTGCGGCCTGGCCCACGTGATCCTCCTTTTTTTTTCCTGGGATCGCTCCAGTTCTGCCGCATTTGGGATTAAAGGATTTGCCTTTTTTAATTTGTTCAAATAAAAGTGGATCCCTCCCCAGCTTTCCAGAGTAGTAAATTGCTCAAAGCTGATTGCACGGCAGCAAATGCGTGAGAAAACGTGCTGTCACAATGACGGACGGTTTTCTCTCGCGCTCGCCCTGTTAAACGTAAATAAGTATGGTTTGTCATAATTATCTGTTAATATCAATCTGAATTTACTGTTACTATTAGCCATGTAAAGCCTGACATTTGCAGTAATAGTCAAAAATATATTTTTTAAATGGAACAATTTATTGAACCTTGAAAAGTTTAAATGAGGTTTTTGCTGAGTATCATATTTGATACATCAGGCTTTTATGGCTTATATAATATGATATAGCAGAATATTTGAGTTGGGAAAAAAAATTCACTGGCCAAAATTCAGCAAAAATATGCAATTTGGTGCAGTTGCTGATATGGCCAAAAAGTAAGATGTATTTCTGATAGCTTGTATTGTAAATCAATTAGATTTTATAACAGTATAGCAGACTACTTACATAAAATGTATATAAATATCAACTGTCACTATTATTCCCACTAATATGTCTTAGTAAGACGATATTTAAATACTTAGTTTTATGACCAAAGCTTTATAGTTTTTACTGTTGGAGCGAAACATAATGCAATGCAATACAGTAATTGAGAGATAATAAACATAATGAATAATAGACGTTTCATATTTAATACTCACATTTCTACATGATGTATGGATGATCAAGTAAACCCAAGGTATTCTTGAAACATTTATTCTCACGGTTACTTTATAAAAACCAGTAAATATTACACAGCAAAAACATGAAGGTGAAATTGTGATCATGTTTATATCTTAGAGGCCTTAGACATTTGCATGTCAGTTATACAATAGGCTTTGTCGGGTTAACATGTAACCATTAAAAAGCTTGAAATAATCTTGACATAATGTAACTAGGCGCTCCTGTCTCTTCCCCACCCTTTTTTTTTCTGCATAATTTGAGCAGGACGACAAATACTGGGCACGGCGCAGAAAGAACAACGTGGCCGCCAAGAGGTCACGGGACGCTCGGCGCCTAAAAGAAAATCAGATTGCCATCCGGGCTGGTTTCCTGGAGAAAGAGAACGCTGCTCTCCGACAGGAAGTTGCCGACATACGGAAAGAGCTCGGGCGGTGCAAAAATATCTTAACCAAGTATGAAGCTCGGCACGGCACCCTGTGAGACTCCCACGGGTCCTGAAGTTCCCTTCCAATTCGAAGGACAATATTCATGGATAAGGTCCGCTGGGCCTGTTTTCCAGCCAGGCCTCACCTCAGTCTGTTCTTGGCACCTTAGAAGGCAGAAACGTTTCATTGTGTGGTTATTTTATACGTCTTGTAGAGATCTCTCATTCTCTTTCTCTATTTGTTATCGCAAACACAGCCATCATTTTTTGCCAACCGTGTTACTTATGATTTTAGTGTGTTTTAGCATTTGTCCACAGACGTTTGCCTTGATTAGTCATGATTTAGCAGTCAGATCTGAGCTAGCTGCTCCTACAGACTCACATGTGTGCTGTGTATGAGAGAGGAGGTACATGTGCAAAGCTGCTCTAGGCATTTTGTGTCCATAAAGACATTATTCTCACTGACAGAACAGAATGTAGCAAGATTTGAGAGTTTGAAACAAATTCATATGATCATAATAATTACTAAATATCTGTATAGCCTATCCTTATTAGAAAACAGACAGTCAAGTTGCTTACTGTACAGTATATTCCAAAGCGTAATGAAATAAGGATGCCAGCTTCTGGCAATCTGTGCCACATAGAGTGTGATTCAAATTGGCTGTTATTTTATTATGAACCAGTAGGTGTTTGTTCAGTGAATGTGGAAATTGACTTTCAGTTCAGTGAACATGAAAGATAAACTGGTATGTCTTGGTTGATAATGGACCCTTTTTGAAGCGTTTCCGCAGTTATCAACACTGCAAATCTAGTAACGTTTAATATTTTATTTAATATATCATATTTTATATCATTTTTTTTAATACACACTTATAACACTATACTATTCCATAAAAAAAACTGCTGCAAGGGGGAGTGATGGCAAATTTGACATCTTTCTCTCTTCTGGCTGCTGCAATCAATCTCTTTTTTCTCTTTCTTTTTGGAAAGTCAAAGAAATGCTATCGTGGATTTTTTTCTTTTGCTATTAGAGCAAATGCGAATACAATAGAAGTTTGCCCAACTATGACGACTTCCGCTTCTGAGAACCCCCAGAAGTGTGAAAAAGGTTCTTTCAGTTAAAAAGTCCACACTATATTGATTAGCTTTTTTAAATCCAAAAGTGTGGGAAGCTAATTTTGTTTAGGTGGAACTGCCTGTTGCAGTCATTTCATCAGATTCAGCACAGAGCATCATTTATTCTGCATAAGCATGCTTTGAGTTCAAACTGGATGAAAGGAAAGCATATTGAACAAGGTCTCAATTCCTTTATTGCTAACACAAAGAGGTAACCTTATAGGCCTATATGAAGTGTATTGAAACAGATATCTTGCCTTTTGTTGGTGAGTTGTGAAATGAATGTAGATGTACGGTTTTATTTTATGTCTATTACTCTTTACTACAGACCAAATTATATGAAATACAATAATATTGTCATATTCAATGTTTTTACAAAGTTATTGTTTTTGCACAGTATTTTCATATGAATTGATTTTTATGTAATTTGATGTATACTGTATATTTATATATGCGTCAAACTATATGAAAAAGTTCAAAATTCTACAGGTAACTGTATATGGGCATTAATATAAAACATTTAGAACTATGTATGAACTTTACATGCGATCAGTTTCTTTACCTTTTTTGTCTATTCTTATACATGCATTTTACTATTAAGTGCATCAATATCTAAAAATGTTTCATGTTTCTTTTGTTGTTAAATTATATTGTTAATACTTCTCATGTAATGGTTGTGATGTACATCCATGAAATATGATATAATGTGTGTTTGCCAAACTTGGTAAAAGAACTTTATTCTTGGCCACATAGAATGTTGTCAATTGTGTATTTCAACAAACAAAATGTATTTTATATTACATATATTAAATTACAGCATGTTTAATTTAACAGTCTTTCTTCAGATGATTATTTGACTCCAATATTTTAAAAATGTTGTCTGTTGTGGTCCTTTTTGGTTACTTTTTCCTGTTAATGAAAATAAAAAGCTTTTGAAAAGCTGAAATTTGATGATGTTGCGTTTAATGAGTGAAATATAAATATGTTATACTATAAATATTTGAAGTCTTTCTTTAAAGATTTGCATTAGGTGTCAAATAATTGCACACACACAAAAAAAACTGTGGTATGCTGAAGGATCGAAAAGTTATAGTTGTTGTTCTCAATCGTACCACTAGAGCGCAATGCCTATCCAAAAAGGCATGTTTGTCTCCAGTCTAAACAGATGTTGTCAATGCTCCGTCATAGTGTCACAAAATATTCGTATTTCTCTTTTATACACATCATCACTGTCGTCATCACTGTCATCACCAACAACAGATGTATCAGTATTGTAGATATATATTTGAAAAGTATATATATATATTTATATAAACCATTTTTTGATAAAAAAATGTATATATATATATATATATATAACATTTAATACTTTAAACATTTAAATATTATTATTATAGAATTCTAATTATTATATTTAAATATATATTTAACAATTTAAATATTTAAATCTGTACATTACATTTTATATATTTATATATATACTGTATATAGCCTACATTTAATGTAAATATTGAAATTTTTAATACAGTGTATATTATCATAATTATATATATATATATAATTATGATAATATACACTGTATATGAGATTGAATAGTAAAACGCAAAGTAGGCCATACAGAAATATAGACAATAATTCCTTTCCAGAAAATATGCGGCTAAGCAGTACATCCCTTTGACATGCACGCAAGAAGTCAAGCTCTCTCTGTCTAAACCTTTTGCATGTTGTAAAATGAGCTTCGTGTCAACAGCATGATGGTCACTACTATACACGTTCAGAGCCGACCTCCAGTACATGCTGCTTCTGGGTGTGGCCTAAACGAGACAAACACAGATGACTTCCTGTGGGATTATGTGGCATTTATCAAATAGACTAGGAGTTATATAAAGCCATTTGTAAATGCAGAGGGAGCAGATTGGGATCTAACATTAATCCCAGCCTGCATTCAGCCTGGCTGCAATCCATCTGAAAGGAAGGGCAGGCAACAGGAATTACAAGCCTTGCACTGTCCTCCTCCACCACTGTCCATACCCTTGCTTGCTCTCTCCAACTCATGGCCAACACAGGATAACTGACCCTGATCGATTGAGGGCCAGTGTTCAGTTTTAGCCATATGTGATTGATATATAGACCTGCTTTCTCTGTAAATTCCAATTCAGTTAGGAATTATTAAAATTATTCAAGATTTGATCAGATTCAGTAGCAGTTTTTTTTTTTTTTTATCACAGCTCTTACCATGCTGATAAATGAAAAAAAAACATGCACAAGTAAAAAATAATAATAATAATTTGCTTTTATTCACCAATAGAGAATACATGAGTTTTATGTCTGTTATATTAGTGAAAATAGGAATTAATCACCACTTTTACCACTTGATTGTCAAATAATTTGGTTAAAAAAAAAATATATATATATTTTTTAAATAAACACAAAAAAGATTATATATAAATGTTTTACTTTTTTTCCCCAGAAAATAACAATTATTATTATCGTCATCTTTAGACTTTTCAATTAGGGTTCATTTGTTAACATTACTTAACTACATTAGTTTACAAGAACAAAACTTTTACAGCATTTATTAATCTTGGTTAATGTTAAGCCAACATTTACTAATATATTTTTAAAATCATAAGTTCAAGTGTATCTAACATAAGTTAATGCACTGTCAACTAACATGAACATTAAAAGATAACATTTTAATTAACTTACATTAACAAAGGTTAATAAATCCTTGCAAAAAAAATATATTGCTCATTGTTTGTTCATGAGAGCGTTGTTATTATTATTATACTTCATGAATATATTGCATTTTAGATGATGTAGATCAACTGCTCAGCAGCATATGATTCCTGGGGAAAGTTGCTTTGAAAAAAGAAATGCAATGCATATGATTTACGTCTGATGATATTATTAACAATTACATTCAGCCAAGTTGATTCATCTGTGCTGAATGAATTTATTGTTTTTACTGTGAAACAATTATTGTAAATGTATCCTTTATAATATACCTATAAGTTTACAAACACACACACACACACACACACACACATTCAAACTTCACAACAGACACATTCAAAATGTATAAGTTATACTTAGTGTTGTACACTACATGGGCAACATTTATGCTTTTGACAAAGCTGCATAATCATGTCATTTTTATGGCAGACAACATTGTGACTGTACAAGAGTCCAGACATTAGCTCTGTTTAGGCATGCACATGTGTCTTCTACTGGCCTCTATCCAGTGTCCAGAGGATAAAATAACTCCATTTCCATGATGAAATGGTCCACAATAAACTAATGAATGCAGATGGATGCTCTGAAACAGAGAAGAGAAGCCGTTAAAGACGGTGTTTTATTGACCTCGCCTTCAGTGGCAAAATCCTGTTTGATGTGTTGTCAGTTTAAAGTCAGAGGGTCACGTTACGCAATTCTAATGATGAACGCTGTCTCTTTAAACGGGTGCTACAATATATGGAGATCATGAAAAAAACTAATTGCAAAAAAATATGTTCATATTAGAAATTCTTGCCCTGTTGACCACAGCAAACTTGTTATTTCACATATAGGTTGTTATTTGCAGTGTATTTTATAGTAACTAGTTATAGACAACAAAGATATCAGTTAGAAATGAGGAAACCAACAGATTATGAGCAGGAAAATTCATATTATGTTACTGTGATGTTAGCGGCAATGCACATGAACAGCCCAGATTGACATTACCAATGACAGAGGTGCCAAAAAATAAAAATGGAAAAACTGTCATTTTAAATGTAACTTTAATTGAAAAATGTTAATGGTTTGTTTGGTTGTCTTTAATGGGTTAATCTTAAAACTATTAACTGAGAAATAAAAACTAGCACTGGTCCTTATTCAAGTTTAGCAACCTTTTTTGATTACCATTAAGATTAGATCATAGATGATATGAAGGCTAATTACCATAATTTTATATCAATTCTAGACGTGTCTACACATCAACTTAGAGCAATGACAATATCGCAGACATGATACACCTGTAGGTGTGCTGTAGTTAATTAGTCTGTCAAAATCATGTTCTCTGGCTATTGGCTAAAATGATGGCTGCTGCTTTTATATAGCCTCAGTTCAAATCAACAAAAGATTATTTGAAGCATCTATCTATCTATCTATCTATCTATCTATCTATCTATCTATCTATCTATCTATCTATCTATCTATCTATCTATCTATCTATCTATCTATCCATCCATCCATCCATCTATCTATCCATCCGCACACAAAAGAGCAGATAATGTGTATTGTGTAGGTAGTCCTGCTCTTTGTATTAAATCAAAATCACAACATAAGCTAAAGTTGTAATGTAAAATGACCATAACAACCCCCCTTCGCCATTCAATTATATTTTACACAATATCATATTTACATAACCATCTTATCTGGATAAAGTAAAGACCATAGTGCGTAAAACACTGCCGTCACTACGACCATTTTGGTTTGTAAGTTTACACGGATGATGATGCAATAGCCGCAGACACTCGATGTTGCTGAAGTTAATCCCTGTGCAACCAGATGCCTTCTTCCTGTTAATGGTTATAAATTCTAAAAAATCCATCTTGTCGTCCATTTTGACAATCTACCTGGAAAAGGAATATGCCTGTGAGTATTGTTTGAATACTGAATAATGTCAGTATGTAAAACATGTCTTGATTTTAGTATCCTTATTAAAGAAACAGAGAAACAAAAAAAATTGTATTATAAATCATATGCAGAAATAGTATAAATGACATCACCTGTACAAAAAAAACAAATTCAATGTGCATTAAATGGGTCATGTATTCAGGTCAGTGAGAAGGAATCGTTTCTTACCTGTTTCAGTTCAAATTAGGTTTAAATTTTAGCATTCATTAACTTCTAGAGGTTTGGATATGCGAGAAATTCACTCTGGATGCGTCAGACCAGCGTGCTCCTCTTCTCGCGCATGATGTCAGGGGTCAGATGTGCGAAGTTAGAGGAAGCCGTGTTGTTCTGCTCATTATAACGCGATGAAGCCGGGGAGTTTTGCATCACCACGAGCCGGATGGGAGACTGTTGCTGTGGGGCGGGGGGCTCAGAGACGTACTCCTTGGTGGGGTCTTTCCCCCGGCAGTCGTACAGGATGCAAGAGATGAGAAAGACCAGAAGCAAGATCACGTAGCTGGCGATGAGGATGATGAGGTTTAGAGTGACTGGATCAATCTCCAGGTAAAACTCCATGAGACCCATGGCGACGCTGCATCCCTGACTCCGCGCTCTGAGAGAAACGTGGGCACCATGGACTCGGGCTCTTCAGGCTAAGCGTGCAGTAGCAGGGATACCCCCGACGAGCACCAGCAGGGCCCTGTGCAGAGATCAGAGTGGAGATGTCGCTCTGCCGTTCAAAGACTTTAATCCCTCCCCTTCTATTCCACCAACCTTAAATTCCTGCAGCCAATGATTAAAAGCTGCTCACTTTAATAGCTTAAGCTGCCATTTTAATTTTGCCAACTGCACATTGCAAGATGGATTTGGCCAAATTATGTAGAAGCGGTGAAAGGGTGGAGTAGAATTTTTAGCATGTCTCACCTCGTGTCCTTTCGCCAGAAGCACGTCAATGTGGGATTTCACTGAGTATTGTGTAATGAACGACTTTTAGTTATGTCATTATAATGGACCGTGACATAACACTCAAGCCAAAAAGGAGATATAATGTGTGTGTGTGGAGGTATTTTCGCAAAATGGAATATGCATAGTCGAAGAAACAGCTATGTTTTATGTCATCATAAATGGACTGTGATGTAAAACAGATGCCAAGAAGCAGATTTAATACTGCTTTTGGAGGTATTTTAAATTTTGTGGCATTTTGCACTCATCATTTTTCTAGTTTTATGGGTTTTTAATTTGTTTTTTAAATTTAGTTATAATAAAACACTTTTGTATTAATAATTATATATGATAATTAAATAAAACATAAAGCACTTTGAGAGTTTTTGGGAGAGTGGCTAACAGTTATGTCATGTCATTATTAATGGATGATGCCATAACACTGGAGCCAAAAGCAGATAAGGTTATGTGTGGAGGTATTTTGGGAAATGTATAATTTAGCATATTTCATAGATGTTAAGGTTATATATATATATATATATATATATATAGTGTTGGGGTAATGCATTACAAGTAATGTGAGTTATGTAATCAATTACTTTTTTCATGTAACAACTAAAAGTAATGCACCACTTTTAAATTTACAAAAAATATCTAAGTAATTGTCTCCATGTTGAGAGGAATCAGGAGTAAGTACAGACGCATTGTGTGTGCGCTGCGCTGAGTAAACATGATGGTTATTGTAGTTATAGACTAAATATGAGCATTTAGTCATCTCACTTGCACAAAAACTGATTCAGTATTCCTCAAAATGAATAAAAACAATCAAATGCAAACTCAGAAAACCACACAAACCTGCAATAATTAAATGTTAAATAGCACACATATACTTCATGCATTTAATCTCACTTTATTAACCAATGTCTTTGCTGCTGACCATATTCAATTCAACCATACTAATAAGCAAAAATTACATTGAATAAACATCACATTTGTGTTCATTTTTAAAGGGGTCTTATTGTGCCTTTTTACGAAGTCTTGATTTTGTTTTTGGGGTGTACTAGAGTATGTTTTTATGCTCGATTTTTCGTTTTCGATGAACCCCCTCCTTCCTAAATACGAAATGTGCTGTGATTGGTTAGCTGGCCCAGTGTGTCAGCGCATAGCATGTGTTAGGGAAATATCAGGCCCCTTCTTAACGCGAGCTCTCAGATATAAATATCAACGATGGTGTCAATTTCAAATAATTTCAATTAATTCCCCCCCCCATGTAATCGATCACAAAATCATGGATAATTTTCCTAATGGGTGGTGAACAGTCGTACAAAAGCAAAAGCTTCAAAGCTGAAGTAAACACAATATAGCCTAACCTTACTGTAATGTTATTTAGCAGGCTAGCGGAGGCAAAGCTTTGCCCTTCGTTTACATCATAGCTTAGCAACTACATAAAACTTATAATTGGAACTTTTAATAAAAAACACTTACAAATAATAAGACATACTTACAAGTTGTGATCCATAAACAAAAGATTGTCCCGACAAAATGGCAAATGGCTCCGTCTTTCAGGAGAAGCTTTTGTGCGTAGCCTGCATACTCTCTTCTGGAAGCTGTTCTCCATAAAATGTGCAGTGCACAGACAAACGGTGAGGTTATAATGTTCAGGAACAGTGTTATAATACATTTAACTTCTCTAAGTTCGTCAGCCTTTAGGACAAACTTTTTTCCGCTGTGTAAAAAAAAACAGTGAAAACCTATTCTCTAAAGCAGCCCAACATGACCTCAGCGTGTTCCCAGGGGCAAGGTTTATGTACATTTAGTGTTCGTGATGTCACCAACGCGGGAAAAAGCTCGTTGTAGTTCAGCCGTTACGAGGGCTTGAGACGAAGAACCACATAAGTCCATATTTTCACATTTTGAATAATGACATTTTTTTAATTTGGACTCTGAATATTATATATATATTTTTTTTTTTACTTGAAGATAGACAACAAAAGTTTCACAATTCTAATGAGATAAGATTTTTTAGTATCAATCTTAAAAATAAAAAGTTAGAGTAATTTACATTTCTGGAATGTGGAAGAACAGTATAAGTCCAGTTAATGTGGAATAACAGTATAAGTCAAATTCATCATATCACTTAAACCACTGGAGATTTGATTCCTTTATCTTAGTTTTAATACAGTAACAGAACCTTAAAGAAAATATTAAACATTTCTTTCTTTCAATTTCTTTTATTTTTTTTACCAACATAAATCACAGAACAAAAACACAGACAATACAGTACGAACAATGAACAATACATAGGCCTACTTATAGTACAGAAAATAAACGTCAGTACAAACAATAAACCGTACATACAATCAACAATTCATACAAACAATAAACAACAGTAATAACTGTAAACAATACATATTTACAATACAGACATACATCATCATCATTCCTTGCTATGGTTCCATATGCTAGTTTACCATTTTATAATACATTTCATAAATCACCCCATTCATTCATTTACTAAATAAATAACTATATATTCCTATTATACAACATAATATAAGGCATACAAGATAAACTACAACTACTATTTTGATTAATTTTACACAATATACACAATATACCCCACCTTACCCTGCACATGACCTACACATACCAGGCTACTCTTCGCATTCTAATGCCCCATAAAATGCTTGGGCCTCCGCTGGCATGTAGGCTAGCATTTTCATAAGATCCCGGTGCTTCTCCTTCTTGACGGGCAGAGGGTCCTCATAAGCACGAGCATACGTGGTGGAGAACAAGGGAGCTGGAGGTGGTTGATTCTTCCTCTGTTTGGTGATCAGCCAGGTCTTCCATCCCTCGTAGAGGCTGTGGCTCCCTTTTGTGTGGACACACCATGGATCAGCAGCTGAAATCATGATTCAACAAGAAATTCAATAAAGATTCTTCTTTCACGCACATATCCCCAACACTGTTAATCTCAGAAGACCTACTCTTTTGTTTTTTACCTGTCACTTTCAACCACATCATGGATGTGATTAGCAAGCCAGGTGGACGCTTTAATGTTGCATCAGGGAGCTGCCTGAAGTCCGGACATTTCATCTCAATGACTTTGAATAGATGCTGCTGCCTGGCTCCACGGATCATCTCGGCGACATCGCTGGGGGTGTGAAGTGTGGACACCTTACGCCTCTTGTCCAGCGTGGCAAAGGAACGGTCACAGGGAAGGAAGGAGTGACCAGACACCATGAACTTCTGCTCTATCTGACTGAAGTACCCTCTAGATACGAGCAGGGCCATGAGGTTTAGGACTCGCCAGTTGTTGTTCTGCCCACAGCATCGGTCACTATAGATGACGAGCTTCCGTTCCTTTGCCTGGACTAGGGGAGCAAAAGATGTTTCTGCCCACTTCAAAAGACAGCTTGCCACCTCGATGGAACCTCTGTGAGCGATGCCCTCATGCCAGAGGCACATTGTAGGAGGATCGTCAGTGCCCATCTCCTGGATACTGAGGTTGTAGTTGGCCAACTGCCGTTGATAGTACACGTTGGAGTGTGTCAGGTTTGGCGTGAACACTACCCCCTGCATGTCGATACAAATGACATGGCAGTCATCATTGGCTTTGGCCCACTCTGTGTCAGCCTGCAACTGGGTGTACGCTTTTTCAGCTTTCCGGTGGTGAAGCTCACTCTCGGTTGCGATCTTCAACCTTTCTCCTTCTGTTGTAGCAGCTGTTAATTTTAAAAACAGGGCGTCACATTTCGCACAAGTGTCACTTCTTGGCTGCCCAAAACTGAGGTTCTGCTGCTTGAAGATGTCCCTATAGAGCCATAACTTTGCAGTGGATGTTGGATTGTGTTCCTTGTACAGGCAGAACATGCGGAGCAGGTTTAAATCAGGGCTCAGGTACTCCCTCTCCACATCTCCCTTCATCCGTGATTCACGAGTTTACATGTTAATGAAATCTGATGTAATATTATAATGCGTATTTGGCTTGCTGTCCGGGGGGAGGGCTCCGAGCTCAGAATTCGGCCCGACCCCAGAGTACTCCCCCCATAACCTTAGAGATCATAGGTAACTATGAGCGGACCCAGCCGAATGTGGGGTGAAGGGGTGGTGGTGGGATGCTGAGAAATTAGTCATGAGACAGGAGGTAAGGGAAGGCTTTATTTATACTGGCTTCTTCTTGCGCTGATTGGATGATTACCTGAACATGCTCCTCCCGAACTTTGTTTACATAAAACTTCATTTCACGAGTTTACATGTTAATGAAATCTGATGTAATATTATAATGCGTATTTGGCTTGCTGTCCGGGGGGAGGGCTCCGAGCTCAGAATTCGGCCCGACCCCAGAGTACTCCCCAAAATGCCAGATAAACGGAGGACAGCGAGCGTAGAATTTAACCCCCCAAAAAGTGAAGGGTATGTATTTACCAAGGAACGAGCTTGCCAGTTCGACTGGGAAGGCTCTCGCAACGACCGACGGGAACTTGGATGCTCACGGCATCGGACGGATAAGCCCATTCTGCAGTTGAACTGACAGCTCGCTGACGCAAGAATTATGCGAGCGTGAATTTGTGGACGAGTTTAACCGTTCACCCGGGAGGGCTCTCGCAGCGTCCGACGGGAACTTATATGCTCACGGCATCGGACGGGTAAGCCTCGCCAGGTTGGACGGAGGGCGCCCGCTGGATTCGGTCGGGAGGGCTCGACCGGCGCTTCGAAGGGGGGCTGGGGCACGGGAAAGACCCCTCACATCCCGACGAATGGGGAGCCCGCCTGGCGACACGAGCGCGGTCGTCCGGCGACGACTAAGACGGGCAGACTCTCACTGCAATTCGAACGGGAGGGTTCAACCAGCATTTTGGAAGGGGGATGGAACCCGGCCTTCGAACGGGTGAGTCATCGCTGCGTGCGAACGGGGGAGTCTGCATATGATTGAAAAACGTACACTATGAATATTAAGCGAGTGTGCAAGCGGCGAGCCCAGATGTAATCGGAAGGTTTGGTGTAAAACGGATGTAACTGAAATGAGGCGCAGCAGGTGATAATTATAATTAATTAATTAGTTAGG